AGACCCCAGTCAGGTGTTCGCGGCCCCACGCCCCGACAGTCGTCAAAGATGAAACAAATGTGATATCACTCACATCAGCAGAAGCAAAAAAAAGGGGGGGGAGGGGATGCGAATCCCCCCCCCCCTCCTCTCTCTCTCTCCCTCTGTGTGTACGTGGATGTGCGTATGTGATCAGCGGACTCTCCCTAACCACGGTACGCTGCCCTCTACCGAACGGATGAACCTCTACCGAACGATCTCAAAAGGTACCTAACTTATGTACATAAACCATCTATCCATTCATCCCAGCCAGGCAGATTAGCCAGCCGAGGGCGCAAAGCGGCATCAGTTATGCTTTGGACGAGCGTCTACCTTTGCCCCTTTTTGAGGCTCCGTGCGAAACCTACAGCCAGTCATCGACGGTATCCAACACCGAGTTAACTATCCATCACTCTATTTACTCTTTCTTGGCTCCTTATTTTCAGTTCGTCGGTTAACCGATCACGCTAAAATACGTGCTTTACCTGCCCTACCTTACCTAGACCGGCGTGATCAATAATGGTGCTGGGTGAATGCCCTGTTCTGTCTCGGGCCATGGCTCTGGAGCTGGATCTCTGGTCCCTCACCCTCCAGACTGAGATCAAATGAGATCGGCCTGCGTTTGACGGTTTGGGTTTGGGGCTCGGGGTATTAATTTGCTCTGGTTTGTTTTTCTTTTGCATCTGTTCAGAAGGCCGGCCGGCCGGTTGGCTGGCTGGGATGGGTGTACAGACGTCGATATAGTACACACGTAGTTGTACTATCTGCTTCCAACTTCGCCCCTCCAGCAAGATAGCATCGATACCAGCCAGAGCAACTGGTTATCGGGGGGGGAGGCACTCACTCTCACATGCAGTGGCTGGTCTGGGGTCTATCAGGCGGTGGCACGGCTCGCACCGCCCAAATGCCTGCGCCACAGGTCATTAGACACTGGAATGACTATAGGGGCAGATCTGTTACTCCCTCTCCTCTCTTGGCTGCTTGCTGGTTTGATAGATGCGAGCACTGATTTGCGGATGGCTGTGTGGGGAGCAAGCAGCTAAGGGGAGATCGGGGATCGAGAGTGCATCATGCAGCCTGCCTGCAGGACCAAGTGCCTCGGATGCTGTGTTCCCTTTCCCTGTTCAAGGGAGCAGTGCAGTCTACATAGCAACTCATTCAACATATTCTGCAGACCTCATCTTTCTCTTTCTGCTAGTTTCGCTGGTAGATACGTCTGGTACGCTACGTGGTTGTGGTGGTGGCTGTGGCTGTTGCTTATGATGAAATGCCATATGCTGCATACGGCATACCTACATACATTTAAGACGGGCGTTCCGAGAGCCGGAGAGCATGTCATGCCCGCTGCCCGTGGGGGTTCCAAGGGAGGGCATATAGCCGGCAGCAAACGAGGGAATAGGAACAGCAGACGCGAGCTCGAGCCTGCGTCGACGCATGGGAGTGGTCAAATCCATCTTTTTTATGACATGGGGTGTTTTTTTTTTTTGATAGTGGTCAGTTGGACCCTTGCATGGAGAACCCCTGAGTCAGGTAATGCCCTCCATATGCCGGTGGGACAGACAGACAGGCATGGATACCATGGCAGCATTAGCAAGAGCAACAACAAGAGAAGACCGTCTGTCCATGCCGAAAGCCTAGATTGGGCTTCTGCTATTTCTTTTGCGTAGTTATTCTTTTCTACGTGCTCCCTTCATTATTGTTTCTTTCCGTCCGTCGGCTTCAAACTCTCGCGCCTTGTTTTAACGTCAAAAAACAACCTTCCGGAAAGGATATCCAAGCAAGCAGAGAAAGAAAAGAAGCAAAACAGTTGATACTGCACCCTATATCTTTTTCTTTTCTTTTCTTTCTTGGGTGCTCCATACTCGTCCTCCCAGGTTCCAGGTATCCGTGTAGAGCGTTAGATCCAGATCCCAAAATTTAGGTACTGGCGACGGGAATGGTGCTCTGATGGCAGCGACAGAGCCATGTCCCTGGACACAGATCCCAATAGCAAATCTGTTTCCCCGCAGAAAAGGGTTGCTTTTCCTTTTTCTTTGTTGTATTTTCAATTCTTTTCATTGTTGAAACCCCCAATATTTCCTGCTTCATCTCCCCCCGATTCGCGGGAGGGTGGGCCTTATCCGCTCGTCTTGCAGCTCTCCCGGGAAGCGAGCAGATGAAATTGCAATTAGATCGGACTTGGGCCAGGGAATTTAGCCAGTAGTTGATGGGGTATGAGGAACTCCTCGACCGATATGAAATGGCAGCAGGGAAAAGAAGGTGAGAAAATGCAAAAAACTAAGACAAGAAAGGAGAATTTATCCGCTGAACCTGTTAACCTTCTTCTGCTTCTTCTTTTGGGCTTCATAATATAGTTCTATCGATCACAGAGTCTGTACGGAGGAGTATCTGTGAGGTATCCTGCTCGTGCGGGCCAGGTGCAACCTCTACCCAACCAATACCCTTAATCTTAGGGGGCTGAACAGATATCCCTGTTCGTTTCTTGGTTGTGGCGAGGGAGGTGAAGGCTGATTCTAACTGGCTGGGACGATCAACCGAGCATGCAATATCTTTTGTCTCTGCCACAAGTCTTGCTTTCTTTCCCCCCTTATTTGCTCTCTCTCGCTCTCCCTCCCCATAAATTCCTCTCCTTTAGGACAAACGGGGGAGGGAAAGGGAGATCAGGGTCCTGAAGAAAGCTGCTCGAACAACTAGACCAGCCACACCTACCCCCAAAACAGCCTGGAGATGGAGAACTGTGTTTCGGGCATGGACATGGACATGCGCACGGCTATGTAAGCTAGACCCACCACGAGAGAAAAAGGAACGAGCTAGGGAAGCTTTTGTGGGGGAAAGAGGGAGGTATCTTTGTTGTGGAGAGAGTACATACGACTTATCTCACGGCAGAAAGAAAGACAGCCAGGAAAGGGGATAAGGCAGAAGGCCAGCAATGCAACTGAAAAAAAGGAAAAGCAACTTTGATCGAAAAGTTTGGTTTGGTCTGAGGGTGGTACATCTCTTTTCTCGTTGCTTTTTGCTTTATCATCTTGCGGATGTTGCTTTTTTCTCCTTTTTTTTTTCAGTTTCTCAACCTGATGCCTACCGTTTTAGGTAAATTGTCTCCTTTTACTCTCAAACTGGTGAGCAATGCTCGCTCACTAGTTTGATAATACCACCCTGTCGGTGAAAAGGCAATGAGTGCTGACTTGAGGAATGTCTCGCAAGAATGGAACACTTTGCTCCATCTCCCAGTCTGATTTCAACATGGGGAAGAAGCTCGACAAGATCTAGGCCGGGGACGGAACTTGACTGACTTCTCTGCCGTCCTTGCATTCCCGTGTGTCTGCCATTCTGTTTCTGTATGCATGTCCCCATGAGACACATAGCTCAGATGAGCTATAGAGGAAGGTATCGCAGACTGTAGGGAGCAAAGTTTGTGTGTAC